CTCCGCCTGGTTTCCTATAACCTCACTTCTCGCAGGGAGGGAACTGCCACAAGGCCCTCAGAGCTGAATGATGGGGGTGGGGACACCAGACCCTCCAAGTGTCCCTATTTTCCAGGGATAGTCCTGGATTTACAGAAGTCATCCCACTTTCTGATTTCATCCTAGAGTGTCTTAGGATGTCTCTATTTTCATTGGAAAAATGTTAGCAGGTATGGAGTTACGTGACTCCCAAGTCAAGTAGAGAAGTAACTATACAACCTTTAGAAGACATCTGAATGCAGTCCTGTAAAGGGAAGTGTTTTTAATGTTTAATGCTTTATTATGTTTTTATGTTGTTAACTGTCCAGAGTGGCTGAGGCATCCCATTCAGATGGGTGAGGAATAATAATAATAATAATAATAATAATAATAATAATAATGGAATAGGAGGTCCCTATTTTCATTGGAGAAATGTTGGGAGGTATGAGACATTCCTTCAGGGAGCACAACAGTGCTCTTCTTCTGATCCTTGTTCTTGGTTGGATGCCATATCCAAGAGCCTCAAACACGTGTGCTATTTATAATAGATCCATTTTTTGACCCAAGTCAGAATTTCAGGAATGTCCTGGATTAGTCACAGGCTAGCCCATCCCAGGATTAAGAGAGGATCTTAGGAATATTGGATAGTCTAGCGCTGTGGGTTAAACCACAGAGCCTAGGTCTTGCCAATCAGAAGGTTGGCGGTTCGAATCCCCGCGACAGTGTGAGCTCCCGTCGCTTGGTCCCTGCTCCTGCCAACCTAGCAGTTCGAAAGCATGTCAAAGTGCAAGTAGATAAATAGGTACCACTCCAGCGGGAAAGTAAACGGTGTTTCCGTGTGCTGCTCTGGTTCGCCAGAAGCGGCTTCGTCATGCTGGCCACATGACCCGGAAGCTGTACTCCCTTGGCCAATAAAGCGAGATGAGCGCTGCAACGCCAGAGTTCAGCCATGACTGGACCTAATGGTCAGGGGTCCCTTTACCTTTACCTAGCTGTGGAGACAGAAACTGAGCATTACTTTCTGCATCTGTTAAGCCCATTATTCACATTTATTCCAATCACTGAGAACCTCACCCCCTCTGTCTTCTCCAACGTGATGGCAGGAAGCAGAAGAGATGACCCAAGATCACGAGAACTTAACCTCCTCCCTTTCTCTGCTCCCTTTCCTGGCTGTTTCCACACAGGGGCTCCTAGCATTCATTTTCCATTGTAAGCTAGAAATATTTCATCAGGCGCATTGCACTTTTTCTATGCATACATCCCTCTCAGTGGTCTCTGGCACTGCTGGGATTTTGCTGGGGGAGGGTTGGGGGGGTGTTGTTGCTGTTTCTGATATTATTCTTTTGTATAGTTGTGTTAGTTCTTATTATAATTTATGTGGAAATTCTTCAATTTTGTTGTGTACTTTTTGATGTTTTATTTACTGTTTATGACTACTTTTGGTTATGTTGGTTATTATGTAATTTTTTCTTGTAGGCTGCCTTGAGCATGGTTTGAAATATGGAAAGGTGACATGCAAATAAAATGATATATTGTATATCATTGTGTATAAGAATGTATACGTATAAGTATAAGAAGGCAACTTACACATAGATTGTAAATCGATTTGCTCATGTATTTCCTACAACATGAGACAGAGCATTTAGTCCCAATTTAAGAAAAACATTTTCATTTAAACTGATGACATTCCTAACTGCTTGCATAACTTGCAACTCTATGAGCTGCAAGATAACTAAGCAAATATGATTCCTATGATGAAGAGCAGTTAAAGTTAGAAAGGGTGTGTGTGTGTGTGTGTGTGTGTGCGCGCGCGCACGCGTGAGAGAGAGAGAGAGAGAGAGAGAGAGAGAGAGAGGAATATCTGAAACTAGTGCAAGACTTGGAGGTTAAAGATGGAAGAGGTTAGCAAAGTATTCTCCAGGCAATGCAGTAAGATGTGGAAGATTTCTTGAGTGGAAGAAGGAACGTTTGGAATGGCTGCGTTACTAAATATTACATGTAACAACCTAAAAAAATATATGTCCAGGCTTGAACGTAGGCAGGAAAATTAGAGGTAAGGCACGAACTAACCTCTCCCATAACATAACTGTTTCTTTAGCTCAGATTGTGTAGAACAAAGGAGTGGGAACCAAGGCCCCTGGTGTCTTCCCAGTGTAGAAGCACAATTCTCACTGATAAGCCAAAAATGCTAATTCTCTGTCAGACATGTTTCCTCCGATTAGACTGAAGCTTAGCTGAGCATCCTGCAGGCCAGTCTCACTTCCTGACAAAGAAATGCAATGGTTTGGAGATGGTGGTGCTAGTGGTGTTTTGGGGTTAGGAGAAGCAGTCATTTGCGTGCAAGAACTGCTGGGGAGGGGAGGAAATAGTAATTGAAAAGTTGAATAGTATATAAATCCAACTATATCAAAATTCTTTTATATACGTTCTATACAGCTGACTGTGCTCCCAAATACCCCAGTAATAAGATCATTAAGTTTGCAGATGATACAACGGTGGTTGGTTTAATCATGGCTGGAGAGGGGGAGGCAGCCTATAGGAAGGAAGTTGAGCAGTTGGGGGAGTGGTGCAGGAAAAACAACTTACTCCTTAACTTAAAGAAAACAAAAGAGATTATTGTGGACTTTAGGAAATGTAAACTGAATATTCAGCCACTTATTACTGAGGTGAAATGCGTGGAACAGGTCTCGGTGTTTCGATTTCTGGGAATGGAGTTGAGAGATGACCTAACCTGGGGAGAAAACGGCAAAGACCTGATGAAGAGAGCACAGCAGAGGTTATATTTTCTGAGAATCCTCCGGAAAAACAATCTCTCAAAGGACCTGTTGATGGCATTCTACCATTGCACTGTGGAGAGCGTACTAACTTATGTTCTCTGTGTGTGTTTTGGGAGCTGCACGCCCAGGGAAAAAACAATGCTGTCCAGGGTTGTAAAGACTGCAGAGAGAATAATTGGGTGTACTCCTCCCACCTTAGATCAAATCTATGCTGTCAGGTGCCATAAGAAAGCTGCAGAGATAGCACAGGATAGTGCGCACCCAGAAATGATCTCTTTCAACTTCTGCTTTCTGGAAGAAGGTATAGGGTTATAAAGACCAGGACTAACCACCTGAGAAACAGTTTCTACCCAAATGCAATTCTGGTTTTAAACGCAGTATAAGGAGTCTCTATAGTATATTGTATTTTAAAATGGGGTTTCAGAGTTTTTAAGGGGGTTTGAATGTCTTATGTAGATTTTTCAATTTCATTGTTCTGTATGGGACAATGACAATAAAGATTTCATATCCTATAGGGAAACAAGACAGCTTCAGTCTTTGCCCTAATGTGCATGGGGGGTGGGGGGGGTGATCAGAGACGCCTTCAAAGTTCCATGAATTTGTAGTCCTGTTGCTCTTCTTGCATTATCTGTCAAGTGGCATGAAAGAGGCAGATGCCTAAGACACTCTGGCGCCATAATGCCCTCACCTCCACTGCTTGGGGAGCAGCGGCTACAGAACACAACAGTGGCACTTCAGACAGATTTCTTCCCCTGCAACTCCATCTCGTTCCAGGTTTCCACCCCCAGACTCTCTTCTCCACCTTTTCGCCTCACACACAGATGCGCTTTGTCTTTGGCGAAGGCCAAGATTTCCCTCTCCCATTTCTGTTGTGCTCCTACAACTTCACCACACAAGGTTCTCTGTGGTGTTCTCCACAGCCATCCAACATCTTTCCCCCACTAGGCAGAGTCCCATAATTGTGGTCCTCACAGCCTTCTTCCTCTGTCACCGTGGACTCTACCAGAGTCATCCTTCTCTTTTCCTTTCTTCGAGGTGGGTGGCAACCGCTGCAGGTGCTGTCTGAGATCCTCACTTAGAGAGCAGCTCAACAAAGGATTGATTTAAATAAGTCTCACACATACGATCTCCGCCTCCAGCTCTTCCCTATCGGTTAGTCCAAGTCCCCTTTGAAACAACAGATTCAAAGCAAGTACCTAATCTGCCTTACCCTAGGCCTAGCTAAGATATTAAATTGTACTTTCCACGTTCCCTGGGCAAGAAAATCCATCTACTTTACTCCTTTTGAATGGTTCTGATTACTGCCTTATTGATTCTGAATTTTTGTTGGTCCCTTCCCCTGGAGGCAACCTTGCAAAATGAGCTAATTAGGGGGGAAAATAAAGCATACTTTAAAAGTTATGCCTTTTAACATAATCCCATCTGTGTTTTCAATTAAAGGTGAGCAGGTCAGACCTTAAGAGAAGATAGCTATGAAAATACAAGAGGCAAATCCAATTCTGAGCAGCTTTCTGAAGCCACAGCCACCTCCGTTCCCCTGCAGTGTTTCTACTGCTACAGCTCTGGAGCCAAGGAAATCTGGTCCTGTGTGATTATTCCACACACCTACCATGAAAGTGTCTCACTCGGGACGCGGGTGGCGCTGTGGGTTAAACCACAGAGCCTAGGGCTTGCCGATCAGAAGGTTGGCGGTGCGAATCCCCGTGACGGGGTGAGCTCCCGTTGCTCGGTCCCTGATCCTGCCAACCTAGCAGTTCGAAAGCACATCAAAGTGCAAGTAGATAATGTGAATGGTTTCAGAACTCACAGAGTTAAAGAGTTCTGGTGACGTCTCTTTCCTGAGGCGTGGTTAGAAACACTTAAGGGAGGGGTTTGACTCCGTGTGTTTCAGTCTGACTTTCGGACGTGATGCGAAAGGGAGAATGTGTCAGTTCTCGCCAGGTCTGAATTTATGATGTTATTCTTCATGATTAAAAGGCAAGAGTAGATAAGGACTGCCTTGTGTCTGGACTGATTTATTCCACACGTGCTGCACTCTGCTTCTCACCGCTGTGTTTCGCTCTGCTACCGGCAAGAGAAAGAGGCCTGAGGAGGATTTTTGCAGGAGGCACGGATGGCTTGCAGAGTTCCGCAACGGAAGCGTGCCGGGCTCCATGTTCAGTCTCTGTGTACCCTCTTGTCCGGTGTAAATAATTCCAACAGGTTATGGAAGCTCGCCAAAGCTTTGAAGCATTGCAGGAACGTCCCACGTGTGGGGAAGCCAGCAGGAAAGTTGCTGGGGTCCAGCTGGAGCTCTGGAGCTGTGTCTTTGAAGCTGGAAGGAGCTCGCTGGGGAGAAGCGATCTGCCGGAGCCGGGAGGCGGAGAAAGCTACTGCCGGGAGACGTGAGTAAGCTTAGCCCCCGGGGAGGAGATGGCAGACGATCGTGAATCATTCTCAGTTCCCTTTGAGAAATTAAATGGACAAAATTGGGCCGAATGGAGCCGGAAGCTAAAGGCCTGGCTGGTAGCCAAGGGGTTGTGGGAGGCGACCCAGGGGCCCCTCTCCCACCACCTGCAGCAGGAGCAGCAGCAGCGGACATAGCGGCTGCTCACGCGTCGCAGAGGAAAAACCAGAAAGCCCTGGGAGCTATAGTGCTCAGTTTGGAGGGTTCCCAACTTCCTCTGGTTGAAGGGCTTGAGACTGCTCAGGAGGCCTACCAAGCCCTTGAGAGGGTGCACCACAGAACCACGGCTGGTGCAAGATCCACACCACCAGACGCTTATTTGAGATGAAGCTGCGTCCCGGTGGGAACATCAGACAGCATGTTACTGAGATGCTTTCTGTTTTCAATGAGTTGCGCCTGTTACAGGTCAACTTTTCAGAAGAGCTGAAGGTTTATATTTTGCTCAGCTCTCTGGACAAAAGTTATGACAATTTGTGTCTGTCTATGGAATCGATGAGTCCACAGGATTTGACGCTATCGTACGTGACAGGGCGTCTTTCGGACGAACAGGAGAGGCGTGTCCGAGAAGGCAGGTCTGGCGCAGGCAGCTCCACCGGTTGCAGAGGTGGGGGGCAAGCCAGATGAGAGCTGTGTTCAGGCTTTTTCCACTCGTCGATGTTATGTCTGTGGATCCAACAGCCATCTAAAACGGGCTTGTCCGCAGAAGAGCAGAGAGGCCGGGCAGGATGTCTCCAAGGTCAACCAGCTGAGTTCTCATGGGAACCAGTCTCGGAGAGGAGGCCAGCGTGGGAACGCGAAGGAGGGACGTGACTCAGAGAAGGGAGACTGTTATCATCTCGCGGCTTCTCTGGCAACTTTGAACAACAATGCCAGCAGGGACACAACTATGAAGTGGGTGCTGGACTCAGGAGCGAGTCATCACCTGATAACGCCATCTGCTGGGGAGCTGCAGAATTGCAGGGCTGTTTTAACTGGAATGACTTGTAAATTTGCTGACGGAAAAAAACAGAAATGTATCTAAAGTGGCAAATGTCTATAATTCTGTTTTGCAGGCTGAGCTGGAGTGCTTCATTGTACCAGGGATGAAGTGTTGCCTGTTATCGGTTTCTGCTCTGGCGAAGCAGGGATACAAAATTTGTTTTGAAAATAACACCTGTTCCATTTTCAGAGGGGAGGCAACTTGTCAACGTGGAGAGCAAGGACAATCTCTTTGTTCTGGAAACACCTCTGGAGGGTGGTGGGAATGCAGGAAAGCACAGGCGCAGTGTGCTAGTGTTCCCAGCCATGATTCATGTGTTCATGTATGGCACAAGAGAATGTCTCATGCTTGTCTGGAGGATGTTAAGAGGCTGCCAGGCTGCACCGAAGGATGTAAAATCACACCATGTGAGGATCTCTAGTGTGCAGGGCATGCAGCAAGGTTCAAAGGTGCAGGTTTCCCGGGGTAAAGAGGGTAACCACAAAACCTTTTGAGTTGATTCACACAGATCTGTCAGGACCCATGAGGTGTGAGAGTCTGGGTGGGGCCAAGTATGTGCTATCGCTGACAGATGACCACAGCCAGGTTGGCTGGTGTTTCTCTCTCAAATCACAGGGGGAGGCGGCGCAACTGATCCAGGATTGGGTTGCGGAGGTGGAGCGAAGGATTTCCACCAGGGGGCAAGGGTTCAAGAGCGACCGAGGGTCACAGTTTACTGGGTCTGCTCTGGAGGAGTTTTTCAAGGAAAAAGGAATACGTCACCACGTGACGGGTGCAAAGTCTCCTCAAGGGAGAGGCGTGGCACAGCACAGGAGTGAAACACTGGCTGAAGCTGTCAGAGTTTTGCTGGGTGACTCTGGGCTGCCTCAGAGCTTTTGGAGTGAAGCTTGGAAAGCTGCCAACTTTGTTTTTAACAGGTCCTACAATCACGATGTAGGTGACACACCGTATTTTCTGTTGCACAAGAGGAAGCCACAGGTGCATTTCTTCCGTTCGTTTGGTTCCAAGGCTTCAGTGCCAATACCAACAGCGCAACGGAAGAAGGATGGTCCTAGGTACCAGGACATGATCTTCTGTGGGTATGATCCTGCAACAAATGGGTGGAAGTTTGCATACCCAGAGGGTGATCAGACCACGCTGCTGGTCAGCAAGCATGCTGAGTTCTTTGAGCAGGATGGTTGGTCACAGCCTAGGTATGGTTCTGATTTTCTCTCAGACTGCTTGTCCGATTCTGAGGGGAGGAAAAGGAGGAAGAAAGGGAGGAAGGAGAGGCAGAGGCGGAGCCTGTTGCTGAAGACCAGGTTGCTGATGATGGTCAAGCACAGGGGTGGGTTTCTCCACAGGTTAAGAGGGAACCCAAGAGTGAGCCTTCATCTCCTGTTAGCCAAGTGCAGGAAGCCCGAAGACGCAGCAAGTCAGAGGGAGTCTTCTGAGCTTGCTGGAGACACACTTGCTGACCCCAGTGGGTCAGGAGGAGCGCCTGAGGTTGTGCTCCGGCGGTCAACTCGGACCACAAAGGGGATTCCACCGGAGAGGTTTCAGGTCACCAGTGCGTGGGTTGGTTTCGCACAGTGTGATTCTGGGAGTGTGGAAGGGATTCAACAATTGCCTGGGATGGATGCCAGTGGGAGGCAAAAGGCAATGGGAGGTGAGTTGAACTCAAAGAGGTCTGTAAATAGGGGTTCACAGTTTCCCCTCAGGATTCGTGACGAGAGGGGTGTGAATGGTTTCAGAACTCACAGAGTTAAAGAGTTCTGGTGACGTCTCTTTCCTGAGGCGTGGTTAGAAACACTTAAGGGAGGGGTTTGACTCCGTGTGTTTCAGTCTGACTTTCGGACGTGATGCGAAAGGGAGAATGTGTCAGTTCTCGCCAGGTCTGAATTTATGATGTTATTCTTCATGATTAAAAGGCAAGAGTAGATAAGGACTGCCTTGTGTCTGGACTGATTTATTCCACACGTGCTGCACTCTGCTTCTCACCGCTGTGTTTCGCTCTGCTACCGGCAAGAGAAAGAGGCCTGAGGAGGATTTTTGCAGGAGGCACGGATAGCTTGCAGAGTTCCGCAACGGAAGCGTGCCGGGCTCCATGTTCAGTCTCTGTGTACCCTCTTGTCCGGTGTAAATAATTCCAACAGATAAATAGGTACCACTCAGGCGGGAAGGTAAACGGCGTTTCCGTTGCGCTGCTCTGGTTTGCCAGAAGCGGCTTAGTCATGCTGGCCACATGACCCGGAAGCTGTACGTCGGCTCCCTCGGCCAGTAAAGCGAGATGAGCGCCGCAACCCCAGAGTTGGTCACGACTGGACCTAATGGTTAGGGGTCCCTTTAACTTTACCTTTACCGTGAAAGTGTCTCATAGGCCACACAGGGCTGTAGGCTAGGTTGCCAGGTCTGGCCCTTGCCTTTCGTTTCAGTGTTATGATCTTGCAGGTATTTGTTTTGCCAAGTGCCTTTTTGAGAATTTGATTCACTGCTGGTCATTTGCTTTGTATTTTATTATTTTATATCTTTGTGATTTCATAGTTTTACAGTGTTTTAATGATGCCTGGGGTTTTTTTTAACAACAACAAAAAAGAGTTGGCAGTTTACAAATATTCTTATAAATGTATTTTTAAAAAGATCATGGTGCTCCTGCAATGCTTAAAAGTGTAAAGGCACCTCAAGGCATGGACAAGGCAACCACAAATGACAATTATTTTGGATGTTAGAGCTTGTTGTGGCTTCATAGCTCCTAGGAAAAATGGAAAGAAAACCTATTTAAATAACCAAGATTCTGAGAATCCTGAGGCATGGTGGGTTATAAATGACTTTAATATAAAACGACCCAATTGCTCTAAAAGCTATAGAAGAAATGACAGGTGATAATCCTTACGGTTTCCTGGGGGCTATGCAAAATCTCTTCAGGGGACACATGTGTTGCCCAGGGGCTATTTTTCCCTGAAAGCAATAAATGGTGGGAGCAAAAAAGAGCCTAGCTCTGCAGTGGCTCACTTCCTATTAGCTTCATCAAAATGCCCCAACAGAGCCATCAGTGATGCCTGCACAGTATTGCCTTAGGTGATCTTTCAGAAGACAAGATGGTTACTTACATTTCCCATTGATATGGATGTGTTCCTTTATCTTCTAAACATCCAGCAGGTCATCATCCGAAACACTTTCTCCCTGCCCCCCACAACTCACATGCAAGTGACTATGTCAGTAGATGAATTTCTCCCACCCCCACCCCAATATTCACTTCACACATCATGCATCTGATATTGATCTGCGATAAACGAACTAGCTCACTGGGCTCTTTGTCTTCTTTACTTATATTTCCAGTTCCTTTGCATTTATTATCAGAACGCTGTGGGTTAAACCACTGAGCCTAGGACTTGCCGATCAGAAGGTTGGCGGTTCGAATCCCCGCGATGGGGTGAGCTCCCGTTGCTCGGTCCCTGCTCCTGCCAACCTAGCAGTTCCAAAGCACCTCAAAGTGCAAGTAGATAAATTGGCGGGAAGGTAAACGGCGTTTCCGTGCGCTGCTCTGGTTCGCCAGAAGTGGCTCAGTCATGCTGGCCACATGACCCGGAAGCTGTATGCCTGCTCCCTCGGCCAATAAAGCGAGATGAGCGCTGCAACCCCAGAGTCGGTCACGACTGGACCTAATGGTCAGGGGTCCCTTTTAGACCACCCTACCATTTGCACTTGGCTAAATGTTAAATCTCTGGCTCTAACAACACTGGGAAATTCTCAATACTGAGCGTTCTCAGCTCCACATTGGATGCTGTGGGATACGTTTATAATACTGTAGTAGTAGTAGTAGTAATTATTTATTTATTTATACGCTGCTCATCTGGCTGGGTTTCTCCAGCCACTCTGGGTGGCTCCCAACAGAATATTAAAAATAGAATCATACATTAAAAACTTCCCTAAACAGGGCTGCCTTCAGATGTCTTCCTTGCTTACAGCCACTTGCTTTATTTGGATCATAATAATGTTTTTCCTTTCTACTCATCAACCAAGTATTAAAACACACTCTTTCAGAAAACTTCACACCAAGCAAATATGGCTCAATGTTTTTCAGTGCTGTACAAGGAGTAAATGCATTGCATTAGTGACTAGCCAAAGAAATAATGAATGGATTATTTGAAACTAGAGTGACACTGGGTAATTCTGTAACATTTTTGAGAAATACTCATAAATTAATAGAATCAAATTGCTTTTGAGATGCACCATATGGAAGGGGTTAGGTAGAAGGTGCCCTCCCTGCCCTCTCCTCTTTCCAGCAGCGCCCCCCCAGCCCCCCCCCAAGGCTTCTCAGAGGGCCAGGGAATGCTGCTCAATGAGGTGGACAGGCCATGGGGCTAAGGAAGAAAATATGGAAAATTGGGCAGAAATACACTCTGTGAGTGGATGAACTGCATGATGAATGCTTCTTTGCTCTGGCATAAAACAGTAACAGATCCTCCAAGTGTCCCGATTTCCCAGGGACAGTCCTGGAATTACAGACGCCATCCCAGGACCTCCAAACATACAAACACTGCCAGAAACAGAAGAGAAAAATGCATGTTGTTTAATATCTGCGTTTCTGCAAATGGCCACAACTTAGAGGATGAGAATTCTGTGACTGAGGAAATTGAGTTTTTTGGTTTAAAATGGTGTCTTGCTCATTATCTTATTATAAGCAACCATACCAAGGTCATTTCTGTTTCTATTTTATTTCCAGTCCAGAAAGGTTTGGTCTTGTGTCCAGATCACATTTGGTCCACCTGGGCAGCTGTAAAGTGCTATTTGGAATGCAACTATCAAGGTTTGTTTTCATCTGCTCAATATGAACTCCTTCCATACTGTGAAACCTTACCTCAGCCTGCCAAGAAAAACAGAAGACCCTCTTTATGAGGTGGCCCTTCCTCCCTCCCTTGCATGCTGCAAAGAATTTCTCAGTGTGTTTCTGCTTTAGGAGATTCCTGTTTGGAAATGTCTCACAGTGATAGTGATCTGTTCAAAGGACTCGGTCTGCATTAATTGACGTTTCTGCCTTGGCTTGGGTCTGTCATCCCTCACCCTTATCCCAGGCTGCATTCTGGAGCCTGAGTCCATCTCTGCTCTAGTACTTGGAAGGTAAGTCTCACTAAGTCCAATGGAACTTACATCTATCCCAAGTATCCACTATGAGGCTAGACAGGTGGTGTTTTTCAGCTGCTCTAATCAAAATCTCTGCTCAGAGGTTTCTGCTGTGAACTGTCTACTTTGCACATTTAATCTGACTTCAAAGTGGTTTAATTGTCAAAGCTTTCCCCATATAAACCTTTTTTGTGTAATTTTTTTAAATCGGGGATTGTTGGAGCTTTCAGAGGTCTGCAATTCCAGGAGCTGACTGAACCTGAGAACTGGAGGTTGCAATCGTCTACACTTCCCCAATGGGATTTATGCCTGAGTAAACATGCATGGTCTCAGCACCGGATTCGAAACTGAAAGAGGGAGAGGGGAACAAATAGTTTCTTTTCATAGTATGTGCCCATCCATGACTTTGGAAGGAGCCACTACTGATACTCCGGGGTTTTCTTACCTGTCTACATCTGGGTATTTCTGTAAGTCTGCAGTCTTGGTCCGGAAATGACATGGGACTGCAGGAAGCCCTACCTTTGTATAAGCTGTGTTTTGACCCTGTGCTACATATTCAACAAATGTTTGTCTCTAGCGTCACTCCAGACCTCATTGCCTAATGTGACTTCATTGCCTAATGTCATCCGCATGCTGTCAAATAGCATCATATCACATGATAACTTTTCATTCTCCAGCATTTTGGGTGATCGTGAACGGATGGTTCCAGGGTTACCAGGCATACTTACCTGGTGTTTCCTTTTGCAATGATGAGACATAATGGAGACACTGGTGACTTCTAAGATATATGGTTTATTTACACATATAGACAACCTGAATCTAGATGGAGAGAGTGCATTCACATCCCACGGGGTCCTTTTCCTTCCACTGCTGCAGCCTTCAGATTCAAGAGACCTCAAACTTCATGTCTGACCCTCTCTGCACTATAAAACACGGCTCGCCTCGTGCTCTGCGCCCGCCTCTCCAGCTTGCAAAACAGACTTTTTCCTTGCTTGCTTACCTCATTGTCCACTGCAGTGCTGCCCCTCCCTCCTGAAACTCTGGCCTTTTGTCTCTGCTAACTGTCTCTCACCTCAGCAAGGGACTTTACCCATTTCTCTGTTAATGGCTTTCTTAATGAGTTAATGACTTGGCCATTGTTAGCTACAGGAAAGTTCAGGCAGAAAAGCTGCTTTGTATATGTGGGACTCAAGCCATAGAAGACCTTATACCCTACCTGTGTCTTCTAAACTGAGAGCTAAGTACATTTGCAAACTATTGTGGAAGATGCCTGATGTGAATGATCAGTGAAGATCACATATTTGCTGGATCCAATAAGTTCATGCCTGACAATGTTGCAAGATTCACAGTGGCAGCCCCAAAACTGGGAAGAGCTTTCTTCAAAGACAATATGGTGGATTGTAAAGTCTAATTGGCAATGACAGATAGAAATTTATTTGTGTAGGTCCATCTTTCAAGGTATATATGTATAAAATAGTTATCACTGTATTTTATCAGGGTATCTGCACAGTGTACATAGAATACTTTCCTTTCCTTTTTGGTTGAAATGACCAAGATGGCCACAACAAAAAATAAACTTTGACTTAGTTAGTTCCTTCAATGACCGACACTTAGCTAGCTTTGCCAAGCTGGCTTGTTAGCACAAGCTGAATCTGGCCAGGTTTGGCACAATTTAATCAAACCTTGATTAATTCTAACTTTTACCAAATCCAGGAATTAAGGGGAGGACCCAAGAGTTTAGGGAATCCTTATCCCCCCTGATTTATAGCAGTGTGTTTTAAACAGATTTTATATATGTATATAGTTTTGATTCTATCAATGTTTGATTGTATTTTAATGACTGATTTTTTCTATGCTTTTATCTGTTCTTAGTTTTATCTGCAAGTTGCCTTGAGTCCCGTCAGGGGGAAACATGGAGTAAAAATAATTAGATAATGATCATAATACTACTAATACTACTAGAGCAGTTTTATAAACCTGCTCTTCCAGAGTTTGTGAAAATCTTGCAGGAGAAGAAACACCCAAGATGTGATGTAGTTATTTTATATTTGACTGTGATTAGGTCATGGCATGAAAGCTGCCAAAACTGCAGGCACACTCCCCTCTCTTTTCAAACTAAATAGCATGGTTTGTTTCTGTCATGGTGGGTTGGAGAACAATTATAATTCCTATTACCATTTCGTTAACTGACACCATTGTCCAACCAGATGTTCCTAGAGAAACATTCTAAGAACTGGCAAACTCCAAAGGCTGTCATTTTGTAATTCATTTTCGTTTTGTTAAGTGTAAACACGCTAGATCCTGGTTTGGACCCATGCTGAAAGGTTACAACAATGAGCAGCATCGTGGCGCCCATAACAAAGCATCAAGAAGAGGAGTGAGGTAAACAGCCAGCGACTACAAGTACCATTCATTCATTCAAAGCATTCATTAAACCGTAGCAAGGACACTGTATGCTAGGAGCTAAATCCTATAAAAACTTAGAGCTCAGGACCTAAATACTAGGGGTAGTAAACCTGTAGAAACCTAGTTTTGAGCCCTACCCAAGCAAAGAAGCCGGGGGGGGGGGAGGTCACAGTAAACCAGAATCCTAGAATAAACCCTAACTTTGGAAGGTGCCATTGCACTCATGTTTGTGGACTTTGCACAGCTTCCGGTTGGCTTCTGGGAAAACAGGATGCTATACTAGATGGCTCTTTGGCCCCTGTTTTAGCTGGCACACTCACTTGCCCTCTTCCTCTGGCAGAGATGGTGTTTGGGTTTACTTGGCCCCAAGGGCAGATCTACTCTGAAACAAATGAAGCTTCAGCTTCAGGGCCCCTCATCCCAGAGGGACCCCAGAAATGACTTTAGTCCACATGGCCTGAAAATGATGGGTCCAGTAGACCCAATTTAAGTCATATGACTCAGATTGATGGCCTTTTTGTTGTATATATTGCAACAATCCCAAAGTTTGAGAGTCAGTAGTACAGATGTTGTAAAGATGGATTGTCGTGGTAACTTGAAAACTATAAGGCACAGGAATTTTTTTATTCACAACAGTGACTTTGACATGTGAGAGTTTAATCAAAATCTGAGATGTAGTGGTATTATTATTTAAATGTGATCTGTCATGGAAAAACCCCATTGAAGAGGATAACAGTGGTTCTCCAGACCCAATTTCCGGTTGCAAAGGAGCCCCCATGACAGTCAAGCTTCAGGGCCCCATAAATGTAGATCCACCACTGCTTGGCCCAATCCCAGCTGCTGACCAGAAGAGTTTTGGTTCAGCAGCAGCTCTTCTTCCACCTCTTTTGCAGGCAAGAGGCAGCAGAACAGAGCAACCCCCACTGCCTCTGCTGACCGTTGGCCATGGTGACTTGGGTGGATGGAGAGTTGCGACCCCCCTACACTTGGAGGGCATCACATGGGCTACTCCTGCTTCTTTAAAAGGGACATTGAATGAAGTTTTATGGAGCTACATCAACTGAGATGCCTGGAAATATTGCTAGTACTTTTGGCATTAACTAAACCAGTTTCAGGGCTAAGCACAATGGTGTGAACTGTCCCAGGGCAGCTGACATCTAAATTGGCAGTCCAGCATCTGTAAAAATCCTCTTCAGCACAGTTTTATCTCTTACTGGTTTCTTCCTTCTTATGCAATGACATTCATGTTTTCAGCTTTTGGTATATTTGACTGGTATAGATTATTTTAAAAATAGCTTTACATACCGTATTTTTTGCTCTATAAGACTCACTTTTTCCCTCCTAAAAAGTAAGGGGAAATGTGTGTGCGTCTTATGGAGCAAATGCAGGCTGCGCAGCTATCCCAGAAGCCAGAACAGCAAGAGGCTATCCCAGAATCTAGATCCCTCTTGCTGTTCTGGCTTCTGGGATTCAGAATATTTTTTTTCTTGTTTTCCTCCTCCAAAAACTAGGTGCATCTTGTGGTGCGTCTTATAGAGTGAAAAATACCGTAATTTCTTACAACAAGATAGATACACCTTCTTGAAGATACAGAAACCGTCCTACAGGGATTAGATAAAACAATTATTTCCAGAATTATGGGGATAAATTACTATGCTGGCCCATTTTGCAGCATCTAGTTTTACATTCTGTATCACTCTCTAATAGAAGCTATTCTGTGTTGTTTTGCATCCAGAAATGCAACTAACCATCTATGGCTCTTTTGGTATAGAGCTGAGCTTGGAGAGCCTAGGACTTGCCGATCTGAAGGTCAGTGGTTCGAATCCCCGCGACTGGGTGAACTCTCGTTGCTCGGTCCCAGCTCCTGCCCACCTAGCAGTTCGAAAGCACATCAAAGTGCAAGTAGATAAATAGGTACCGCTCCGGTGGGAAGGTAAACAGCTTTTCTGTGCGCTGCTCTGGTTTGCCAGAAGCGGCTTAGTCATGCTGGCCACATGACCCGGAAGCTGTACACCGGCTCCCTCAGCCAATAAAGCGAGATGAGCACCACAACCCCAGAGTCAGCCACGAATGGACCTAATGGTCAGGGGTCCCCTTTACCCCTTTACCTTTACCAGTTCAGTATGTCCAAAAAGGACCAGTTCCAGCTCAGTTCACTCTTTTACAAAACAAAGTAGCTAGATTTAAGTCCATCCAAATTATTAATGGCAAAAAACAGCATTCAGAATATTACAATCTGCTATGCTGAAGTAAAAAAATATATACCGTACTTAAGAAGACTAAGAAAACATCAAAGCACAGACACAGCATCTTTATCCCAGTATTCAGCCAAAAATGTTTCAAGAGCTGCTGAGGGAAGAAGGGAAGGTATTTTTATTGTATTGCTTGGCTCTCTGCTTATCTTTGCAATAGGCAACACTATGTACCATAATTGCTGTGCGGCTACAGAACCATTCGTCCTCCCTATTTCTCTTTCTCTTTTTCTCTCTCTCTCACATACAGCCACTGCTACCCCTCACAGAAGAGGTAACTGCCCCTGAAAAGGTTTTTGTGTTTTGCCAGGGAAGGGGGGCAAGCAAATGGCTTATTTTGTTGGTGTTGCAAATCAAAGAAGGGTAAAACATTAGGATAAGAGACCATCTTCTCACTCTTTTTCTCTCCCAAGTTCTCCCTACCACCACTCAATAGTAAATAATTAGAGGTGATCCCATTTGTTAGTGTTCTCTCTTGGGATTTTCAGGAAGGACACTGTGCCCTACAAGCAAGTTAAGCACAGGGGTGTGTGGGGTCAGGGGTGGGTGCAGTGCTGGCCTGGTCTGTATGTGAGCATGAGGCAAACTGTTTCAAAGAAAAGAACCAACACACCAATCTGGCGGTGATGCATGGATGCCGAAGCTCTTCAGTGCAGACAGCATTTAAACACCCTCACTTCTAGCAAAGCGCATGGGCCAGAGACATGGAATCAGTGATACAGTGACAGAATATGGACAAACCAAATAAGACTTTAGCCCCTCCCCCTCCCATTCAATTTGTTGCACTTTGTTCCTGAGAAGCTTATTCCACATTTCTGGGGCCACCACAGAAAATGTCCTACTCCTAATAGATGACAGCTTCACCTCCTGAGAGGACACAACCTGAAGCAAGAACTCATTGAGGGTTTTGCTTTGTTTTTACAATCAAGTGGTGTATCGATTTTATGAAATAAATAAATGGGCAAATCTTAAAGCTCTCAAGGAGACATACTGCACAGGGCGAGTGGCAGGGTCTGTATTGAGGGATGGGGCTTCTGGGTCAGCAGAGCTAGAGGGTGTTGACCTTCCTCCCTTGATCTGCTCCAGGGCCCAACGCAAAGGCAGGGAACCAGGCAGCGTGCCACCTGGCCTCTCACCAAAGCAGGAACTGTACCTGAGGCCCAAAGCAGCCACACTCCTGCATTGCAGGGGGTTGGACTAGAGGACAATTCTAGGAATCTGCAGTTCTACCATACTGGACTGTAGTTCACCTCTGAAGGAACACCTGTGTGAAGCATCATTCTGGTAGAGCAGTCATCCATGGATACCTTGTTTGTGGTGACCCTTTCCTGGAAGCTGGTGAATGTCAGCTGGCTCTCCTTGGTGTGGATCAACTGATCTTCTTCCTTCAAATCCTTGCGAGGTGCCATAAAGACCAGTTCCAGAAGACTTCCCAGACTCCCTGTCTTGTTGGCCTCCCTTCTCATATGGTGTGCCTAGAGGCTTTGGCAAATGCTACCTCACAACAGCAACCTACTGGTACTTAAAAGCTTGCACTGGCTGCCCATAAGTTACTGGAATAAGTTCTTGTATTAATTTGCAAGGACCTTAACGACTTGGCTCCATGATACTTCTCTGTTACTGTTCTTCCATGGTTCAGATGCAGGGCTCTTAGCCACCAGAAACCATGCAGTCAGTACTGTGCGCCCGATTCTGTGAAACTCCCTGCCACCTGAGATTAGACAGGCTCTCTAGTGTTTGACAAAGACCTTTCTATTCCAGCAGGCAATTTAATGAAGACTTCTGTTATTGGGATTAATTTTAATTGAATTTTTCCACTGTATGCTTTGTGTGATTTTTAGGTACACCGCTTAGAGATTTTGGTTATTACTGGGTAAGTGGTATATAATGAACATACATACATACATACATACATACATACATAACAGCATTCCCAAAACCTTTAGGTATTAGATGGAGAACAGATGGGTGAGATGCTATACACAATGCAACATATTTTTATTTATTGCTCTAAGGCTCAACCCACTTTTCACTATATCAAGGGGAGGTCTATTGCCAAAGGATATGGTACTGTTTGGAGCTGAAAAGATTATGTATTATGTGATTTTTCCTGGACTGAAAAATCTTTACGTGTAGAACAGTAAAAGCTCTTAGGCCATTCATGTTGTTGTTGTTGTTATTAATTGAATTTACCTGCCTATGCCTGCAGGTCTCAGGGTGGTTCACAGAATAAAATCGGAATACAAAACCACAAAATGCATAATCAAAATAAAAACAACAGCCCAGTAACCTCCCCCACCCCAGTGCATTTTAAAAGGGCACAGGATGTCTATTCATGTTTAAATCCAGGGCTTTTTTCCTCCAGCAGGAACTCACCTGAACTCAGTTCTGGCACCTCTCATGGGGCAGGATAAGAGAACAAGGGAGGTGTTCATGGTGAATTCCGGCACCTCATGTGCTAGAAAAATAGCAGTGTTTATATCTGATGATGATGGTGGGTTTCTTACTGAGTTTGTTCAAGTTAATTGCTTTGACAAAGTACCTTGGGTTACAGATGCTTCAGGTTACAGATGCTTCAGGTTACAGACTCCGCTAACCCAGAAATAGTACCTCGGGTTAAGAACTTTGCTTCAGGATGAGAACAGAAATCGCACAGCGGTGGCAGTGGGAGGCCCCATTAGCTAAAGTGGTGCTTCAGGTTAAGAACAGTTTCAGGTTAAGAACGGACCTCCAGAACGAACTAAGTTCTTAACCCGAGGTACCACTGTAGCTGTAACTGTAGTCAGAAAACCCTGGGATTTTAGACAAGCTTTGAATCTGCATATGACAGGCAGCTGTCCTTTAACAGCTGAAAAAATAGCCTGCGGTGTTAATGAGAGAAAATCTACTATGCTCACATTCCAAATTGTTTCCATTCATTTTTCAAAGAGTTTAATTGGTGGTGTATTAGAAGAAAGGCAGAAGGATGACATGGGGGAGAAAAGACACACAGCAAGTAAATTAATCTATTCCAAATAATTGGGGGGCATCCCCCATTTTTTTCCAAGGCACTTCTATTTTTATTTCTCCCACATTGTCTTTCATTTCACAGCTTTTCTTTGCCATGTGCAATTTTGCCAATACCCATTGGGTCCTCCGTTGCATCTGGGGTTAAAAGTGAGTCCTTGGTCTGAAAGGTTTGGAGATACTTAAATTACAAAAGAAGTTTGATCACCATAGCGCCTTTCTAGGGAGATCCTGACTTGGTTACAGATTGAGACCTAATTCATGTCTGTGTATGCTCCTACCTGGTACAGAAACCCAACCCCAAGGGGAATATGGGGCTTTCCTGCCATAAATCCATGTTTAGGCTTAATCTCAAATTACTATAAATCATTTGATTGGAATTAGAGTGAAGGGTTACTTTGGGCAGATTTATTGTGGCCATTGGGGATTGTCTTACAATAACAGCTCTGATGCATGATTATAAAATGCTGCCATTTGTATTCCAATCCTAAGAGGGGAATTTGTCATAATGTGTTTCCCAGGTAATGCTAACAATGCTGCTGATATTCATGCATAATAGGCCTGGCATTTTTCCTGGCCTTAGTAGAGAGGCCAGACAATGACAAAAGAGAAATGCAGCTGTTAAATGCTGTGTGGCAGTTCTAAGACAAGGTCACAGAGCGAGTAACCACCTCAATGACACCGCAATAAAGAAACAAGATTTCTGAGTCACAAAGGTCTGGGAAATTAGACATTGCAGAGAGTGCGCATTGAATGTGCCCTTTTTCATTACTTTCAGAATCTCTCTTCTGTTGGAACTATCACTGGAAGTGTAGTGTTATCATTTTCCCAGGCTGGAAATAGATAATAGTTTTTCAGAGAGCTGAAACTAGGGTGAATGAGGCATTGCTTCCCACGGAGCGCACACACTCCTTTCTTCCAGCCCTACTGTCGTCTCTGGCCAACAGTTTTTGCAGGTTTTTGAAGAACAAAATTCCTGTGAACCCAAGTGCCATCACATCACTTTCAAAATTCAGATGCTCCTCATGGCTTGGCTCCAAATGTCCCACTATGAAGCACTGCTGCTCATTCAGGGGCCCCTCTTCCCTCCCTGCTGGACGCCCCTTGAGCCCACAGGAAACTGGCTCGGCAAGCTCAGGGGATCCAGCAAAGAAACCTTTCCAATGGTAGCAAAGCCCTGGGCCTCTCCACCTGCAGAGGGACACACAGCAAGATCTTCACATCCAAGCCACTGAAACTGGAACTAAAAATGCTGTGCTTCAATTTCTGTATTAACACAATCATTTAAAATTCACATATTTCTATTGCTTAGATGAGGAGTTCTTAACCTACCATCGGGGATCTGTGAACGGCGCACAAAAATAATGGTTCCCCCCCCCAATGCAATAAAATAATTTTTACACTACATTTTGTGTATATATGTTTATGTGCATTTTTCAGATTCTCAAAGGCTTCCATATAAAACAAGGGTCCCATTCAAGTTTAGCCAGCCTTCCAAGGGCTGTGTGCCAGCCATGGTTGTGGCACACATAGAGACCATGCAGCGCATACCTGTACATGGCCGTACATACAGGCCACACACACATGCAGACACACAGCACATAGTCTCTCTCACATAAACATTCTGGCACACACAACACTCAGCTTTTTGTGTTTGGGCTATCGTGGTTCTACGCATTCATCATTTATGTATGGACAAGTTTATGCATTTTTAAAACTTTTATTATTAAAAAGTACATCTTGGCTTATAACTCTACAGGATTTTTACAATTTTGAACTGCCTCAGACAGTAGGGAAGGTATCAAATGCTAATATGCACCAGCTGTTACAATTTGGCAATATTTACTGGTTATATGCAGTGCTCCTCTATGTCAGCTGTCATATATTGACTGTCCTGGCCCCTGGTAGTACACATGCTGTACGGACAGTACATTTGCGGTGCAGCCCCCGGCATTTCCAGGGAAATGAACTGTAAGTAGGGCAGAGAAAGACCTGTGCCTGAGAATCAAGGGTGGCCCGGGGACAGACCAGTCAAAATGGAGAGAAGCAGGAGAAAACAAGCTTGCACCATTTCCCATGTGGCAGTCATTCAGATATTTAAAGATAGCCATCAAGAGCTCCTCATAAGGCTGTGTTCAGACCCTTGATCATCTTGATCACTGTCCTCTGTGGTGCTCAGAACTGGAAACAGTATTGCAGGTGTGGTCTGACGTGGCAGAATAGAGTGGTACTATGACTTCCCTTGATCTGGACACTAAACCTCTGCTGACACAGCCTAGATTAGCATTAGCTTTCTTTTGCTGCTGCATCACACTGTGGACTCATGTTAAGCCTGTGATCTACTAAGACTCCGAGATCTTTTTCACGTGTACTACTGGCAATTCAAGTGTCCCCCATCCTACATTTGTGCAGCTGGTTCTTCCTGCCTAAGTGTGGGACCTTACATTTGTCCCTACTGAAATTCATTTAGTTACTTTGGTTTCTAGACCTTTTATCTTGGTCACCCTAGAATAGCATTAACCTTTTTTTGCTGCTGACTCATGTTCAGCTTGCACTGCTGGCAGTCCAGGTGTCCCCCAGCTGGTTTTTCCTACCTAAGTGCAGAATTTTACATTTGTCCCTACTGAAATTCATTTTGTTAGCTCGGGCCCAGCTCTCCAATCTGTTAAGGTCATCTTGAATCCTGATTCTGTCTTCTGTGGCATTGGTCTCCCTTCCCTGTTTGGTGTCATTTGCAAATTTGAGGAGGGTCCCCTCAGTTCCTTAATCCAAGTTGTGTATAAAGATGTTAAACAACAGGGGGCCTAGCGCAGAAACCTGTAGCACCCAGCTTGTCACAAGGACATCACCTGTTTTCCAGGAATTCTCAAAGATTATAGTGGTACCTCAGGTTAAGAACTTAATTTGTTCTGGAGGTCCATTCTTAACCTGAAACTGTTCTTAACCTGAGGTACCACTTTAGCTAATGGGGCCTCCTGCTGCTGCCGCGCAGCCGGAGCACAATTTCTGTTCTCATCCTGAAGCAAAGTTCTTAACCCGACGTACTATTTCTGGGTTAGCGGAGTCTGTAACCTGAAGCATCTGTAACCTGAAGCGTATGTAACCCGAGGTACCACTGTATAGATAAAGGCTCTGAGATTACACCTGCAAGCTCCTTTATAACCCTCGGATGCAGCTCATCAGACCTTGGAGACTTGAAATTTGCTGCATGATCTTGCAAAATCTTCAGTTAAAAATAAGTGCAGCAACATTTAAAAAGCAATTGCCATAGAACAGGGATGCCCTCCTAGTACACTTCCACTCATGCACTGGGGCTCTCCCTTTCCCACCCCTTCTGACTGCTTCATCCTCTTGCATAGCCCTATGGGGGGGTCGTGTGGGTGTGGCCAATGTGTGGGGAATCCTGGAAACCAGAGAAGCTCCCTTCACACAAGGGTCTCTGTGGACCCCAGCCATTACCTGCGCAGAAGGCGGCTGGGTCTTTCACAGCTCTGAGCTGCTAGCAGATGGAAATATTTGGTTCTGTTTCCATGAGTGCAGCAAAACAGCTACCACAAGATATTAAAAGCAGCTTCTTGGGTTTATTCATTGTGGGGAGTTCCACATGACCTCACATTTGGTTCACTGTGAAAACTCCTGGAGGGAAATGGAAAAGGGCCTTTTCTGGAATAAAATGCTCCAAATATCTGTGTCAAACTCATGCTGAGGAAATACAGGGGTCTTATATTTTATAAAATGTACTTTTATTTGGAGCCTATTTCCAGATACATTCTTGGGGCACATGGCTTGCAGCCCTTGACACAGTTCATTGTATAGTTTACTTTTAAGCAGCCCTTTTAAGCAGCCCGGTAAGCCATAATGGGATAAAATGAAGCTGCTGAGAACTTATCTTATGTCCACTGCTTCATATCCAGTTGACAGAACTGCAAGTTGGTAGGGCTGTTTAAAGGAATTCTGTTTTTCCACTTACAACACCGCTGATTATAATCAGCAAAACTGAGCTGACGTCAGAATGAAAACATACTCGGTCAACTGAATATATCAGGTTGCTGCTATTGTTTTGACTAGATGTGA